CTGGAATCGTCGCGAGCAACTCTCTGTCATTACTGTACCACTTTGTCAAACGGAATCCACCTTTCTCTAGCAATTTGCGCAACTGACTGGCTAAACCGACAGCCTTCTCTGTGGTGCCTGTCGACTTCATCATGTCATCTACATATATGTTGCGCTTCACTGTCTCCACCACTTCTGCATCGAAATGCTCCTGATACAACTGGGCTGTCTTCCTCAGGCAGAAATTAGCAACACTAAGTGAAGACGTTGCTCCAAACAAATGTTTCACCACTCGATACTTTTCCATCTCTTTTGTCAGGTTTCCATTTGGCCACCATAAAAATCTTAGAGTGTCACAATCCTTTGGGTCCACCAAAACCTGATGAAACATTGCTTCTAATCCAACAGTTTCTTGTCCAAACCGACTTAAGACACCCACAAGTTGATTCGTTTGATCCGGGCCCTGCAGTACCTGATGATTTAAAGATGTCTGTCCGAACTTTGCTGCACAATCACAAGCCACTCTCACTTTGTCGGGCTTTAAAGGATGTGTAACAGGATGATGGAGTAGGTACCACAATGGTCTGTCCTTTACTTCCAACTCTTCTTTGGGGACCTTTCCGGCGTGGCCGTTTTCAATGTAATCAGTCATTGTTGTCTTGTACTTCTCAAACAAAGCTTCATCTTTTCAGAAGTCGTTTCTTTAGAAGGAATCCTCTTCTTTCTGCTACTATCCTGTTGTTAGGTAAGAAGGGTGGATCATGTCGCCAAGGCAGGGCAGCCTGAAAGTGTCCATCGACCATCTTAAGTGTTCTCCATAATTTCTAAGGCCCTCTCGTCTTCCAATGATGCATACACTCGTGTCTCAACTTCAGAGCTTTCAAAGTCTGTCTTCCAGAGGCTCTCCAACTGTTGGTTCAGCTCCTCATTTCGAGCTTGACGTTCAGTTTCATTTGTTTGTAACTGGTTCTTGTTTTCACTGGAATTAGGTCCTAGTTCTAGGCCACTTCCTGCGTCTGCAACATGCACCTTGACAGCATCTCCATTGTCTAACATTTCAGAAAATACAACACTGTTTTTGGAACCATCGCAGAGAACAGAATCTTAGGATTCCAATACCCTGGTGCAGACAACAGAGCTGTCTCCCACACGTAAAAAGTTGACTAAGCGTTCAGAATTGCAGCTTTCTCCTCCAACAGGACCTATCACAGTCCACCCCAGACTGTACCTTACTGCTACTGGTTCACCTTCTCTACCAGCACGGCACTCCAATGGCAAGAACAAACTTGGATTTTCCTTGAGCCCAACAACTAGCATGACACTTCCGATGTCCAATTGTCGTAACTCAACATCATGCAAATGTGGCCAATGTTCAAGGTCTTCCTTCTTCGCTATACAGCTTTCAGTAATTGGCATATGTTTAACTGTCCTGACCTTCGGGAGCTCCACTATAACTGATTCGTCCATTGACATCACTGTCAGGTCTACTTGTTGACTCTCTACCCTCGTTGAGCCTGTTATCCCAGACAAAGTGAAGTCCAACTTGGTGCCGCTTACACCTAGGTTCTCTTTCAAGCTTTCATGGCAAAGAGTAATTTCTGAGCCACTGTCCAACAAGGCATATGTTTCAACGGGTATTAAATTACCACCTTTAGCCAGAACTTTAACTGGAACAACACTAAGACAGACTCGCTCGCCGGCCCGAGTTGCAGCAGTCACAGCACTTCTCTCACTAGTCACTCCACTGGTGTCACTTCTGGTATTAGTTCTTGTCACTCTTTCCCTCGACTGGCCATCATTACCGCTTGGAGAGCTTGGATTTTCTGCAGGGGGATGCAGTAGTGTGTTGTGATTCCGGTTGCATCCATCCACTTGGCATTTGAACTGAGTTTTGGGCAGCCTCTTGCAAAGTATCCACTATGTAGACACTTGATACAAAGATTTTGGTCCCGCACCACCTTCCATTTGTCTTGATGAGGCTGAGTTTTGAATTTGTCACAGTTCTACAGCCTGTGTTGACCGCGACATACACTGCAAGCTGGCAATTTCTGGTTCTGTTTGCCACCCCTTTTCTGACCTTGGACACCTCCAAATAGTGTAGTCCATTTCTGAGCACCTCGACCTTGTGGATCCTTCCGTTTTGCACTGTCCCTTTCTTTCGAAGGACTGGCAGTTAAATCTTCTCCAAACTCGTTGTTAACAAGTGCAGCCCTGTCCTTTAAGTGTTGCAAGAAGTCTGGAAACTTTGGTCTTGATCCATGTGAAATAATTCTTCCTGCGCATTCCGTCCACTTTACTCTCATGAACAATGTGAGCTTCTTATTCAGTTCCCTCGATGTATTTAAGTGATTCAAATCACTGACATATTCAGGCCCCACGCCTGACAGTGTCCTAATGGCTACATCTAAATGGCGGGTAAATGCAGGTAAACTTGCTCCATCTGCTTGCTTCAGACGGGGTAGGCTCTCCAATTTTCTGATGCGTGCTTTGGCTATGATGTGAGGGAGTCCAAAGTTCTCACGTAAAGTACTCTTGGCAACATGATAACCCTCATCTACGGGTAAGTTCACACAGCTTTCGATTGCATCTCTTGCTTTTCCATAGCAGTGCTAAATTAACAGCTGCAACCTTCTGGAGCTGTCAGGATTATCTTTCTCTAGGCAAGTCTCAAAGTTATGCATAAACGGGACATACTTCATCGGGTCTCCATCGAAACGCATGTGCTCAACTTTCGGAGTGGAGACAACTTGACGCAGTGCTCGTACCATCTCTAATCTTCCATCAGATGTAAATGATGCTGGTTCTTGCATTTGAAACTCACCTGGATATGCACATGGGGTCTGGAAACATGGTACCTGGGTTGGCCGCCGTGCAATCTCTTCAGGTTTAAACTGTGGCATTAATGGCACCTGCACTTGTTGCAATTCATTACTTAACACTGGTGGATTGACAGGTGGTGTTCTCAATGTCTTAGTGTCCTTTAAATTGTACGGTTGGTCTGCATATTTACATGTATCAGCCTCATCAACATAAAGTGTACGTACAGTAGCCAAAAACGCTGGGTTGAGTACTAGAGTACTGACTGTTTCTCAGGCCTTAACACCTGAGATCCTAATTCTGTCATTGTCTCTAAATTTAGGAACTTCATCCAAAGGATCAGACCTTCGCACTGGTTGCCCAAGTGGGTTTAATTGAGGCTGAGTTGCCGCCCTTGTCTGATGCTGAGTGGAGTGTAAAGGCTCCAAATGCTGCACTGAATACTTATGTGACTGTATTAACTGAGACTGAGCTTCCTCCCTTGTCTGCTGCTCAATGGGGTGTAGACTCCAAACGCTGCACTGATTGCTCATGTGGCTGTATTAACTGATACTGAGCTGCCTCCCTTGTCTGCTGCACAATGGGGCGTAAAGGCTCCAAATGCTGCACTGATTGCTCATGTGGCTGCATTAGCTGATACTGAGCTGCCTCCATTGTCTGCTGCTCAATGGGGTGTAAAGGCTCCAAATGCTGCACTGATTGCTCATGTGGTTGCATTAACTGAGATTGAGCTGCCTCCTTTGTCTGTTGCTCAATGGGGTGTAAAGGCTCCTCAGGTATCAACTCTGCTAAACGTTCCTTGTACTGACTATCCCTGCACTGGTCTTCAAGCTCTTTATAAACATTAACACTTGCCATAGCCCGCTCCTCCTCCATCTCGGCCTCCATTAAGTCCCTTTCATAATAAATTTCATTCATCTTACGCTGCAACTGTTGTTCACGCAGAAGCTGTTTGGTTTTCAACTGAGCGAGGCCAAGTTCTTCTTTTCTCTTTGCTAATATCATAGAAGCTGAACTTGAGCCAGACGACCCACCTTTCGAACTCTTGCTCGACTTCCTTGTAAAGGATTTTATGTCATCATGTCGCCCTTTAGTAGACATAGCTTTTGACTTCCAAGACTCAATTGCAATTTCAAATGCTCCCTTCTGCGCCATCTGCTCCTTGTAGCTATCATTGGCCCTGTCGAGCTCTTCACAACGATTAAGAACATCAAGGCATTCAATGTACTCTTCATGGGCTTTAACAAACTTCCGGCAAGCATCTTCATATGAATCCTGATTTAATTTTAGATCCTCCAAATTTCCGCAGTTGTCCATTATTCTTTTAATGTTTCCTCTAAGTCTGGTAAGGATTTCGATGTAACCTGAACGGGAATTTTTTAGTGTGTTTCCCCTTTCTGCCATTCTGCTTTCGAAATTGATGTTAGAAGGTACTTTAATGCGGGAACTTCTTCTCAAATGAGTTCCAATGTCAGCTTCCGAAGAGGCCTCCCGGGCACTTTGTTCAAATTTGCTACCAACAGGCAGTGATCGAACAGACATTTCTGTTTCAACAGCAATGTACAAATAATGTCAA